GTTATGCTCTGTGAGGGCAGTCATCAGTTAGGATGCTTTTGGTTGCAAGTAATAGAAAAAATCCAATCCAAATTGATATAATCAATACAGGGAATTTATCAGCTCCCATAATGAAACTGCTAACAGTAATCCTACCTTCTGTCACCAAGAACCTGTTTTCTTTAGGTCTATCCTCTTTGCCTTTCTCTGGGAATAGCTTTAGTGTCCCAAAAAGTCTGTCAGAAGCTCCCAGAACTACACAATTTCTTATTTATCTATAGGAGGAAAGAGAAAATCTACAACCCAGGATTCACAACAAAAGTCTTGAGATGCATTCTGAATGGAGAGTCTCGGGAACGTGCCCATGCCTAACCAATCTCTGTGGCCAGGGCATGGGATGTGCCTATTGACACCTGTTCCACCCCGGGAGCTGGGGGTACAGTCAGCCTCTCCGAACCACATGGATCCACAAGCAGAAACAGAAACTGGAGGAAGAAGGGGAATGGATGTGGGAGAGACACCCACAAATGTCCCTAGATAGTTGTTTGGTTTTCTCCACTTAACACAGTGCCAGGCATCAGATGCCTCCTCCTATAGATGTTCAAGTGAGAGCAGAATCTAGGCTTCTGTTTCTTTGGTCACCATTTTCCACTCCCACCACCCCAGGTTGTCACCCCCACCTCTGCTCCTCAGCAGAATCCTGTCTGTTAAAGACAAACACGCCCACACTTTTGGTTATTTTGTTTTAAACTACTGACAAATTCTATCTTAGGGTGCCTAGGCCAGCCAGTGGCTCCCCCCACTCCAGCCTCCTGTCTGCACAGCGTGGAGGCAGATCAACAGACCTGAGTCTCTGCAGGGTCTGCTCCCTCCCTCACAGGACTCTGCGGGGATCCAAGAGGGCTTCCCACCGACCTTTGGGGAATTGAGGCTACACTGACTTCCTCTCCCCCTCTTCAAAGAGAAAGATGGAGAATAACCCCCACCTCCTCCCCCTCCCATGCCTCCCAAGGCCTCCTGTCACCCCTCTGCACATGCTCAGTACACTCACTCGGCCCACAGCCTTCCTGCTGGCTCGCATCCATGGCAACCTGCTTGGCAACCAGGAGTCAGTTGGGCAGAGGCCCTGAGCCCCAACTGTCAGAAGGGCCGAGGCTGAGGTGGAGGAGTTTGGGGGCTGTGGGTAAGTGCGCTTGGGGTCAGACCTGTGGACTTGGGCAGGGGCAGACTCTAACAGGGCGCTGGTGGGCTGGGGAAGCCGAGTGATCTTGGGCCGTGGGTGGCAGCTGTCACCTCTGAAGGGTCTCCGGAGGCCGAGGCTCTGGGATCTCAACTGGGCCTGGGGCCAGAGTTAGTCCCGGAGGTGACTGGGTTAGGAGGAGAGTCTGGGACTTGGGTTAGGGGTCAGTTTGTCACCAGGGTTAGGATTTGGGAAGGGAAGAATGGTCTTTCCCCCGAGAATCCCTGCTATTGGGGAGGAGGAAGGAGAAAACTAACTATATTGAGCTACTTATATGCCAGGTGCTTTCCGTATACTGTCTCTGGAGCGGTAACTGAAGCGCGGAGGTGAGGATTTACAGCTGGCTTTCTCTAATCGCAGCTCTGGCTCTTTCAACCCCTCCCCCGTTTCCTGAGTTGAGGTTCCCGGGGCGGGGGATTCAGAGGACACCCTGGGCGGCCGTGGGGGCGGCTGGGGCCCTGGGAGGCGGCTGACCGCCGAGCTGAGCCGGGCCCCAGCCAGGCGCCCTCTGCTGGGCGTGGGCTGCAGCTCAGTAACGGTGGTGCTCGTTCTCAGGTGGTTTCCCCGAAGACCACGGAATCCTCCGCAGGGCCTGGGATGTCTTGGCCCAAATACTGCAGCGTGGCCACGACCTTGAAGGCCCCTGCCTGGGCCGGCGCTGCTCCTCCCTGGGACCTCTCGTTCACCTGCCCCTTTGTCCTCCGGGCGCCCTGGCTCGCCTGGCACAACCCCCTCACCAGGTACTGGTCTCTGCCCCTCTGGCGGAAGTGGTGTGCTCGTTCCTTTTTCCTCTCTGCTCTTGGCTCTAGAGGGTGTACCATGAGGGAGAGAACTTGCTTCTTGGGAAGGCCGAAAGGGTCTTTTACTGTGTGGGCTATGATTTGCTTGGGGTATTATATTATCCCTGTTTAAACTGTGCTCCCCGGGGGCCTCAAGCGTTGATCTGGCTTTTGTCCCCCCTTGCAGCAGAGTGGCAGATGTCAGAGTTGGCAAGTGTGAGAGAAGGCAGTCAGGCATCACCAGTTATAAAGTTTCTAGATCATTTTACCATCACCTATGAGACCTGCCCTGGCACCACGTGAGAAATTAGGGTTTCTGCAACCAACAGCTAGGATGAGGTCTCCAGGCCCCTCCTCAGGGTCCCTCAGTTCCCTCAGTTATCCTGGCTTTTCCTGAATATAGTACCCTCAGTCAGCTGTCTAAAGTGTGGATACAAGAGGAGAAAGGAGACTCAGCCTGAAGCACAAGCAAGCTGTTTAAGTCCCGGGGATTCATGTCCATGCTACTCAATTCGTCTGCCCAGGTTAGGGACATGCTGGCTTGAACCCTTAATAGCCCCCTTTCTTGGTCCTATGTGGACCATCTCGTTCAAAGCCAGAGTTAAGCATCCCTGTATCCAGGCTTGCCCACAAATAAACACCTTCTTCAGAAACCCAAACCCTAACTCAACAGTTCCCACCCCCGCCCTGGCCTCGGCCCTGTCCGCAAAATTTTCCGGAACCAGCTTCTCCATTTTTCTGTCCCACAGCCCCTTAGTCAGCTCCTATGTACTACCCCTGCTCAAACACTTCCTTCTCCTTTCTGATCCCACAGTGCCAAGTGTTCTTACAATTTTTTTCATCCGAACCTCCACGCATCATCCTGGAATCCCACACACCACCTTAGGATTTTCCTTCCTGGTACTCTTTCGTGGTCTGCTGTCTAGTCTCAGAACCAGCATTAATTAACTTGACTATATCAAGGCTAATCACATTTTGATTATCTTTAAACAATTCCCAATCTTCAAACGATGGTTGCCTTCACTGTCCTCTCCTGCCCCTTCTAATAGTTTACCTTGTCTTAGCGGAAGTCATAGATTGCCACTTTTTACATGGATTTCTGTTCCACATAGCCTTGTATGTCCTACACATGCTGTGGTGCTGCTCAGACCTAACAGTGAGAGATGTTTCTTGATGTTTTTAGGGCTTGGTCTTCTCCACTCCCTAACTCCGTGTGCTTTTCTCCAGATACGCATCTTACCACCCGTGTCTCCACGTTGCTGACCCAGCATGGCAGGGGCCTGGCTGGCTGGGAAGAGTTGGAGATGTTGTTGACACATGGGTCCTGGCAAGAAGGGAACCAGATGGCTTTTATTACCGGGCTCAGATCAAAGCTGCTCCAGAGGCAAGTCCCTAACTCCCCACATCTCCCGGGCGTGCTCCTCTGGGTGTGGGTGGCCCTGTCATACCTGATACGCCTCGGCTGTGTGCGCCCAGCAGTTCAGTTTCTTGGATGAGCACAGATCTTCCATGGCCAGGTTGTAGAAGTGAAAATGTAACGTCTGTGAGTGTACTGGTTTGCTAGGGTTGTGTAACAAAGTAGCACAAACTGAGTGGCTTAAATAACAGAAATTTGTTGTCTCTCAGTTCTGGAGACCGGAAGTCCAGGTGTTGGCAGGGTTGGTTTTTCGGAGACCTGTGAAGAGGAATCTGTTCCATGCGCCTTTCCTAACTTCTGGTGGTTTGCCAGCAATCTTTGGTGTTCCTTGGCTTGTAGAATCATCACTCTGATCTCTGCCTCATTGTCACATGGTGTTCTCCCTTTCTGTGTTCAAATTTCCCTGTTTTCTAAGGACAACAGGCATTAGATTAGGAACACACCCTACTCAGCCATACTTCAGTATGACTGTCTTAACTAATTATATTTGCAATGACTCTATTCCCAAATTAGATCACAATCTGAGTTATTAGGGGCTAGGACTCCAACATATGAATTTTCAGGGGACACAGTTGAACCCATACCAGTGAAGAAAATGTACAGTAAAAGTACTTTGTTCAGGAAAATTCAATGTGTCAAATTATGGGCACCAGGCTATGGAAAGAGGAGCAAAATGTGTTTGTCCACGTGCATGCCTGTGTGCCGGTATACACAGAAGCAGGGTCCCCCTCATGCTGGGAGCCAGGCCGGGGCTTTACTTCAGTGGCTGCTTACTTCTTTGGGATTTTTCTCTTCTTTTCAGAGTCAGACTTTATAAATATGGATCCACAGAGGGAAGACTAATGTGAATTCTAAAAAAACATGAATAATAGAATTTGCAATCAGAAGTCATTTTGTCATTTTCAAGTAACTAATATGTGAATTCAAATGAAATATTAGCAGAGTTTTGCTCGAATATAGGTTCTGTCTAGTGATTTGATAAAAGTAATTTGTAACCAGACTTTCTCTTCAAAATCATATTGAGTTCTCAAAACAGCTCATACTTTAATTAGCGTAAGTACCTCTTTTGCCCTCTCGTTTATGCTGTTCACTTGCTTAGCCAAACCTTTCCTCACTGATGTAACGGCAGTGCTGAGACTGCCCTATCGGCCACAGCCACTCCTTGCCCATGTGGGCCTGTGGATGAACACGCCATCCCTAGTTGGTCTTGACACAGGGACAACACTTCTTGGAAGTGCTGGGAGGAGGGGGAATGCATTGGGGAAAGATCCAGAGGACCCAGGTTACTCCTGGGAATTGCTGGCCAAAAATATAGGTAGGAGAAAAGAAAAACAGGAAAAGGAAGCGAACAGGAAGGGAGAGGCAAGAAGTGATCAAGGAGAGAGGCCCATGGCAAGAAGAGGTGGAGGGAAGAGCATCCACACCACAGCCTGCCTGTCTCTGCCATAATCGGCGCTCAGCAGCACCTGTCCCTGCCCCTTGAGGAACCCCCTGGGCCTGATTCTAGGGCATTGTAGGGAACCCTGTGCTCCCTGTTGTACCTCCTCATGCAGGTCTCATTCTAAGTGTTTTCCTTCCTACAGCTGGAGAGGCAGGGGGCCCTGCTTGTAGAATTTGAGGCTCCCCTTGTCACAGGCCCAAAGCTGCCAGCCCAGCAGCAGAGCATGGTCTTAGAAGAAGATGTCATTCTGTTCTTGCCATCCGTGGAATACTCACTGCGACCTGGGGACAAGGTGCTGGCACCCTGGGAGCCAGACCGACAGCGGTATGGCCCTGGCACTGTTCTCTTGGGCTTGGAGGCAAGAGACCCCGAGAGAGGTAAGGGAAGCTTCTCTGACTTACCAGTCCCCAGAAGGAGCCAGGCTGGTGATCAGGCCAGGGGAGAGAGCAAAGGGTGTCTCTATAGCCTAGGGGTCTGAGAGGCATTAAAAAAAATCCTTACCCCCTCATTTGCAGCTTAATCCTGGGGGTGGTAACAGATATATGAATCATATCTTTAAGATTATAAAATATTTTTTATCAGGGCAAGATAGCCTAAAACTACCATGTCTATGTTAGTTAGCTAACCTATGGTGTGTGGGGTTATCCTGGGGTCTCACCAGTATTCATGAGCTGTCCCCTACCAAGTTGTCCAGGCACTGGGACAGTCCCATTCTGCATGGCTGGCCAGTCAGCATCGTCATTGAAAGAATGACAGAAGGAGGCTTCTCCTTCCCTTCCCCAACCTGAGGATGCATTTTGGTTTTGACGGGAAAATTGAGACAGGGAGGCAGGTGCAAGTGCGCTGGGAAATGGTAGTAAATATGGAGCAGGTGAGGGAATGTTCCCGGCAGGCTCTCCAGGGAGAGGGGTGCATGACGGGGCAGGCAGAGCAGAGTGGCTCACTGAGGCTTTGCTTTTGGGCATAGGAGAACCCTTATGCCATGCTACAGAAGAGGTAATTGTTACAAAATGTTGATCTTTTCTGTCATGTAGCATCAAAAGAAGAAGAAATTACTGTTCACTTCTGGAATGGCAAGATAGCTACAGTGCCTCTAGGTGGGGCCTGGTGGGTGCCCCCAGCTGTCTGGAAGAAGGCTATGGAGAGGCTGCACAAGCCTTTCACCAGGGAGCACCCCAGTCCCCTTCTCTGGGCCCCTTGCTGCCCTCTGCTGGGGCCAGTTGCTGGGTATGTCACCAACGGGCTTCCTCTGGGCACTCCATTCCTGTGCCCTCCCTGCTACCCCTATGCCTGCTGCCAGCTGCTGTGCCAGGGCTGCCTCTGCTGCTCCCCTTTGGTTGGACCCACCTGGTGGCCTCTCACCAGGACCTCAGGGGTCACAGCCACAGAACATCCAGAGGCCGAGCTGAAGCCCACAGCACAGCTTTTGCCCCTAGAGGGTCCTAAAGAGGAGGAAGTAGCAGTGCAAGCTCCCGTGGCTGTTTCTTCCTCCTCCTCCTCTCCTGAAGAGGATTTGGAGAATGATCTGGAGATGGGCCTCCCCCAGAGGCTGATGGTGGACAGCACAGTCAACACAGACCCCATCCTTCTTGAGAAGTCTCCAAGGAGACAGAGTGGCTTCTGCCAGCCTGAGTGGAGGTACTGGAAGAGAGACAGGTCTGAGCCACATCCTGGGAAGCCAGGTATTCTTTCTTCTAAGGCAGGGCAGAGGCCCCTGCTCCTTCCCTCTCATGTGTCCCTTAGGAATCTGATGCACACATCCACTGTGCCGGGATTAGAAGTAACACTTAGGAGTGTGGTCATGTCGAAGGGAAGGCTGTGATAAGAAGGAAATGGTAGTTTCCACTTAAGCAATAACACCCAACAAGAAAGGACAAGCTGATCTTTGTGCTAAGGTTTGCATCTGCATTTAACGCCTGTCTTCTTCCTCACTAGTCTCCACTGGCAGGGCACTGCCACTGTCTGTTCTGCTCCCTCCCTTTTTTCTTGGAGGCCTTGATTTTTCTCTAGATGAATACTCAAAATGCCTCCAGGTGTGGATTAGTCTTCAATGCCCCGAGAAACACAGAAACTGGTCTTTAAACATTGGTCATCAGGCCTTCCTCTCCAGGTGGGCCCTTCAGTAAGTCAGAGTGGGAAGAACAGGGCACTGCATTGTGCTGCTCATCCTGTACAGCTAAGCGGGGAGGCAGTGTTATTGTCCTTGGCAATCTGCAGCCGTCCCCAAACTTCTTTACCTTAAAGTGGGAGAGGTTTCTGGGCTTCTGTGAAACAGGTCACTCCCATCTCACAGTGGGAGTTGTTGGCAGAAGCTACTTGGAAACAGCTGTTTCAACTAGATATGCCTGCCCAATAAATGATGATATAAAGAAAATAGTGCCCAAATCTGGAGTTTTCATGCTAACTTCTCCATAGCTTCCACCACCTCCTGCTTCAGCACGGACTGGAGAAAGAAAAGCTGTACCTATCCAAAAGAGAGGAGTCTGTGGGGAGCAACTGAGAAGCACCAGGCCCAGCCTCAGGGAGAGGAACGCCAGTGGGTAACCAGAGGGACCCTGGTGGTCAGACATGCCCCAGACAGCAGGCCTGCCTTCCTGCTGCCATGGCTTGCTCCATAGCATTCTATCTAGACTAGTTCCAAACCTGATTCAGTCCAAACAAATTTTCCCTGGCCTTGAGCATACACTGCTCTTATCTCCATTGCCCAGTCACCTACATTTAACATTCAGTCTCTCTCCCCATCACCATATTTAAACAGACACTCTAAATTTTTTCCCCCAAAATAAATTCTAATAATTGGCTATAAAGAAGAGAAGTATAGTACCTTCAGGTACTTGGTCTGGCTTTCCTTCAGGTACTGGATCATTTGTTATGCTTCAGGCAAAGGCTAATTTTTGGAGCTAAACCCTGAGAATCAGTGGATCTGCCCTCTGGCAGGTCCCAACCTTGTGCCCAAAGTTATGGAGAATATGCCCGAGATGGGGTGTGGAGAAAGGGGCCACCCCTAGCCCTTGTCACAGATGGGGTATCGAGTGCCACTAGTGAAGGGGAAGTGCGTAAAACCACGTGTGCACCAAGGCTGGAAACCATGGCAAATACCAGAGCTGTGCTCGTCTCCCCTCCAGATTTTGTGTCCTTTTAAGGCAGCGTGCTGCTCTGCCTCTCCTAACTGGGCTTGATAGCCATCAAGTGCTGATGCCTGACCATCAGCTTTAGGCTCTGCCTCTTGAGAATCCTGCTGTGTGGGGCCCTCTGTCGTCCACACTTTCTGCTACTTTTAGTTACAGGCAGTGAGGCTACTGTATGATCCTAACCTAACGATCCTAGAGAGGCCCGACTGTTGGCTGCCAGCAGTCATGTTGCTCTCCTTCCTTCCTTAGGACTGAAACAGGATTCAATCTGTAGTTTTAAAAGTCAGGGAGGGGATGGATTCTTTTAAAGTATTCCTTCCTTTTTATATTATTGTCCTTTTCCTCAGGAAGTCACATCTCCCATAGTTTTGTTTTGCCTCATTCAACCTGTGGGAGATCAAAATTGTCCACCTCAAAATATGTCTCTTTACCTTATGTTTTCTGCTGGACATTTGATCTTCCCCACTAACTGCCTAAATGAATTTAACTCTGGGGATGGATAGACTGGCAGGGTCCTCGCTAAGCCCATTCTTATCAAAAAGTTCTGTTTACCAAACATTTACATTTGTAAGGGAAATCTCCATTTGTTTAGGTATCTCCCTCTCTGTACTGGGAAGGGGGGAGGGGGGATGACCCTATCTCTGGAAACTCTCATCAGTACGGAGAAGACTTAAATCTGCATACTCTTGATTGCTGTGCTTTCTGGTAATGTCCCATAGCTGTCTCCCTCTGCACCCCCAACATCCTCCTTTGTCTACCTGAGTATGCTATTTAAGGTGAAAACCACCATTTGTCGAGAAACTCAGTTTCCCTGGTTTCTCCCATGTATACATGTTATTAAACTTTGATTTTCTCCTCCTATTCGGTCTCATGTCAATTTAATTTGTAGCCCAGCCAGAAAGGACCCAGAGTGGGTAGAGGATACTCTTCCTCCCCCTTCAAACCTCTTAAAATTTGTTTTTCCATCAGCTTACTATCTCTTTGTGATCAGTGTGATTTATAAGCTCCTTCGACTGGTGGCCGTTGGTTACCTTTGCTTCCCCTACTGGCTGTTTTGAAAAACACGTCTGATAATTTCTCCCACCCAATTCCAAATCTGGTTATCAGATATAGCCTTTCCCAAAAGCATAATGGCCAGAAATGACTAACAAACTTTATTTCTCTTTAAAAGCAGAGAACAATGCTTGGAGCTTACAGATAAGAGATTCTGTGATCCCTGATGTAGTTCTACTTAAGTTATCGCGACTAATCTCAACGAAATGGTGGCATACTTAACATAACTAACTGAATTTTGGGTTTAGGAACAAGATGTTGCAACATCCAGAAAGAAAAGGGCAACAAACCACAGCGAGTACAAACTGTAGTCGTGGGGAACACCAAGGAGCTGATCCTGGAAGCAACCAGCACGAAGCCACTGCAGATCCTGCCAGAAGAAGCTGAACGCAGAAAACTGAGCCAGGTACTCTGACACATCAGAGGGGCCAGAATTCCCCTTAGACTAAAAGCCCTGAGGATCTAGATAAAGCAGAGTGACTGGGAAGGAGCTTCTAAGGACTCCTTACATGGTTCTTTGACCTTTTGGGGTCACACCCCTTTTGAAGATGATAAAATCCATGGCCACTATTCCCAGGGAAATGCACATACCCACAATGTTGCATACAATTTCAGAAGGCTTCCAGAACTCATGAAGTTCATCATAGACTTCCTGGGGGTGCAAGGATCCCTGTTTAAATGGCCCTCTTTTGTGGCCATTTGATAGGCATGGGTCTGCTTTACTAGGCCCTCTGTCGGTGGGAGTCTTCCTCACTAGGAATGCTAATATAGCTCTATTTATAAAATCATCATATAAAATACTGGTATTTTTCCTGAGGAAAGACTTGTTATGTTCAAATGAGATGAATCAATCACCAGTCAACTAAACTGAGAGATGCAACAAGACTGTGGGTTTGGTAGCTTAAAGAAGTTCAGGACACATCAATGACTTTTTAACATCAGTGACTTTTGATCCTTAAAATTTTAGTCAGCATAAGACTCTCAGGATGTTTTTCTCTTACAGGAGGCTAAAAAGTAGTGGTGGTAAATACCTGAGGAGGAGTCACACAGTGGCTGACAAGACCTCTTCAATGGAAGGAGGTAGCGTACAGGCCACAGATGATAGCTGAATAAGCAGCAGCATCTTCACCCCACTGGGACTTCCCTGCAGATGAGCGGCAGGAAGGGGCACAGGAGCGTGGCGGCCCTGGCCAGGGCTCCCTGCCAGGAGCCTAGTCAGATCTGCTTGAGGATGCCTCTTCCACAGAAGCTGCAGGGTGTGGTCAGCCTGCTTTGGACAAATGTGTCCCCAGCCTCTCTGCCATCTTTTCATAAAGCCTACAGTTGTACATGAGCGATGTTTGGTTTCACCTCTTAATACCAATAAAAAGGAATTCTTGGGCCAGCCCTGATGGCCGAGCGGTTCAAGTTTGGCGCACTCCACTTTGGCGGCCCGGGTTTGATTCCTGGGTGTAGAACCACACCACTTGTCTGTCACTAACCATGCTGTGGTGGTGGCTCACACAGAAGAACCCGAAGGACTTACAACTATGATATACAACTATGTACTGGGGCTTTGGGGAGGGGAAAAAAAAGAAGATGGCAAGAGATGGTAGCTCAGGGTGAATCTTTCCCAGCAAAAAAAAAAAAGGAATTCTCTTTATTTCCAAATCTCTCCCTTTATTATCATAATTAACCTTTACTTGGAAAGCAAGCTGTAAAAACTATTCAGACAGCATCATTACATTATTACTTTCAGGCAAAAGAGGGTGGGGGGACTTCTACACTTTCAAGTTAAAATAGGCACCGAAAGAGATGAACTCCAGGTCCCAGGAAGGCTGACCCTCTCCAGTCGGCACTAAAAGCAAGATTAATGTGTAAATATTATGAGAATCATATAGTGGCTTTATTCTTCTTGCTACTTAAAAAAAAGGTGATGTGATGGCTGTGATGGTCAACCTCACACGGGGAAGACCAAGTCCACACTTTGTCCTGAATCAACTGCGACCACATGAGTCTTCTTGGTTAAGTCATTTGCACCCACAGTGACAGAATAGGTCCCTGGATATACTTCTATGTAGAGGTCCTTAGAGATGTTCTCAGCCTAGAAGGAAAAGCAGATATTAGCAGTTTAAACATTTTATATCCCAGTGCTGTCAGGACACCTCCACCAGGCTACCTTTGTGTGCCAGAGGTGGGATGGAATGAAGCACTCATGGGAGATGGAGGTCCTCCTCGAAAGCTCAGCTTGGGCACATAATAGGACTGTCATTTGGGTAAGTCTCAGCCTCTCCTTACGTTTGTTTCCTTATTTCTAAAACTGATAATACCTACCTCACAAATAAGCATGTATGTGAAAACACTGTAAATGCCAAAGTGTTATAGGAACATGAAAGGTCATAAAAGGAGCACTCTAGTTGGAGTAGAAAGATAAGAATTAGGTAGAGGGAAGGGCTAATGACCATCGTTTTGGGGACCAAAAGCAGACAGTGGCACTTGTTAGCACAGATTAGCAGTAATGGCAAGGCACGGTGGAATAACGAGAATCATTCTTTTTAACTGAACTTTGCTAAATTCATTATTAGGAAGATGAAACACTTCTTTTCTCCTAAAGCTGAGACGACTAAGAGCAGATTCCATTTTATCATGCAGCAAGACAGCTGGTTGGCAAAAACTTTCCCTTGGAGGATTGGTTCTGCTATAGTGCAAAACTGGAAGCTGGAGCTATTGGAAAGATGTTTACAGCTGAGCTGAGCACAAACCATCCTCCAAGGACAGACTTCACACATGGCTGGGAAGTAGGTCATGGCAGGTGTGCAGGCAGAGGAGTTCAAATGGGAAAAGAGAAAAGTCTCAGACCAGAAAAGAGCCTGTAATTAGCCAAAGCTCCTACTCCACAGCTAGGATACCACTACGTGCTTACTCAATGCTCAGGAGCCACAGGCAGAAGTTGTCGTTTCTACCACCACACTAGGGGGAAAAACCAAACTACTGGCCAGCAAATTCCACTATGAGGAATAAATGATAATATTTATACTGTTATGAAACTTCCTCCCCTTTCACCTTGCAGATAGATCTGAAGCCATTTTTTCCAAAGCTGCTTCATGTTATATCCTTTCATGCCCAGTTACTACAAAACTGGAGGTCTACTATCATTTAACTAACATGAACGTAAGTAACAATACCACAACTATTTCTTGGTCATCAACTATGAAAGTGAACAAAAGTAGGTTTCAGAAAATACAGCTATATCAGAATTGCAGAACGCCGATGCTTCATTTGTCTGCATAAAAGGAAACACTGGAGGTACGACTGGCATCTGTGACTCCAATACCATGAACATCAGGAAGATTAGCATGAGCAAAATCTAGCACGTGTTGGAGGCATCTAAGCCTAACAACTTACATTTGTACTAGAAGCAGAATATTCTTAGTTGCTATTAATTCTAGTATATTCTGAATCCTGGCTAGTAGCACACTGCATACCAACAAAAATTAAGCAAACTACTGCAGCAACATGCTGGAGTTCCTTTCCACAGAATTCCAGCCCTTCCAAGTTCCAGAAGATTCCCTGGGTTCATGAACTGATAAGTACTTTATCTTAAAAATGAAAAACTCATCACTATATGTTTTTATAGAGAAACATTTGTGGAAAATGGGAACAAATTCCTTCCAATGTTTTGGAACCCAATCTAACCAAATGTATATGTTTCAGAATTTCAGCAATGGTTTTCACTTTGTAAGCAGGAAGGTCAAGCCCCTCCTGCTGCTTGAACAGACAGTGGAATTCCAGCAGGACCCAGTGCCAGCCCAGCTGAGCTGTAGGAACTGAGATGTGAATACTTCACATTCTTTCCAACCACAACTATGAGTTCATGCACAAAGAGTATCCCTGAAGCTTCAAGCGAAGGAAGGAAAAACATAATTTTACACTGAACCAAAATGTCATACACTCTCCCCAAGGGTAAAAACATCCCAGCTTAAAAATACTACAGATCCAGTACCAAGAACCCTATAAAACCAGGTCAGCTGGTTCATGGAATTGCAAGGGTGGTGAAGCCCAGTTTACTAGAAGTTCTGTACTCACAGGCTGGGATGCCTCTGGAGCACACTCTGATGCTTGATAGATGCTTCCAAGACCAGAGGAGGTGTCTTTTCTCTGGAGAGACAGAAACACTGATTAGTGTCCAAGCTTTGACTGCTGGATTGTAAAGAGAAATTTTCTCGTACCTTATTAGGAACAAACAATTGTTCTGTCAGTTTTTTCTAAGTTGTCACCTAAGTTATTAAGACTTTTAGTGAATTCTGTGAAGTATTTTTAGTCAGATGTTTACCATAATTACTTTTTATCCTTACATGGGCTTTGCAGTCAGACAGACCTGAGTTTGGATCCTATCTCTGCTATTTACTGAGAGGGACAGATGAATTTCTCTAAGGCTTGGTTTCCCGCCCTATAAAATGGATATACTAGATCGTAGGGAAGATTTAAAGGACAAAAGTGACTGACACTTTACAGACTCTCAGAAAATAGAATTCTCTTCTCCTGTGCTTCTCCCAGGAGTGGGGGTACTAGAGGGAAACAGGCTGAACTGATAAAGTCAATTTCCCTTAGAGGCACCAACTTATACTTATAGGAAGGAATGGGAGGGATGGGAATGACTCTAGCCCACATGTAACCCCCTTAGGGTCAGGCGAACCTAAGAGAGCCCTAGGCCAGGCCAGAGAACGGAACCCAGGATTCGGGCTCTGGTGTTGCTCCTCATATCCCAGGCCAGGGAAACAGGAGGGACTTCCAGCATGTGTCCAGCCCTTGCTCACAGCCCTGTAGCCACTCTCCCATCCTCTCCCTGAACCCACAGACCAGAGAAGTCAGGAATCCAACTTGTGGATTAGACTCTGGACTTAAGTTTGTTCTCTTTGAGTACAACTAGAGGAGTTTAAAAACAAAAAGAAAAACATCTCACAAATAACAACAATGAACAACTCTTGTTGAACCAATTGAACAAGTAGAATCTTTGGCTTCCCCAGAATGACATGTGGCAAAAGACAGGTAAGTTTGTAGTGAGAGGCCTGTAATTGTTATTATCTTTAGAAAAAGTATTTTGTTAAAAGAGACCCCCTTTGCACTATCTTTTTAAAAATTACCGAAGACATGTTATCACTACCTTAGAGTAAAATGTGTGATTATGAAAAATCTCTTTCCTATCCTAGATGTAGAAGAGGATATTTGAAGCTCTTTTCTTTAAGCCTGCCCAAGAATCCTGTGGCCCAGGATTGCAGGTTCAACCAAAGATCCTACAGTGGTATAAATCTTATACTTTGGACAAACTCTTATTTCATGTTCATTGCTGTAAGTTCTCCAAGGCTCGGAGTTGATACATTTCCATTGAGCACTGTGATGCTGAGTCATGCAGGCATCCAGTAATACAAATCCAGCAGGAGCTCCCGAATATAGACTCTCTTATCTTGGGAGGCTGAGGGCACAGCACAGGACAGTTGGGGATACATACCTGACCATTCAGCTCTGACTTCCCTCTGTGATAACGATAGACATGGGTTGCCCCTCCTTCCTCTGGCACAGATGCATAATATTTCTAGAGAAGTAATGTGAAAGATGTTGAGTAGCCAAATAGTCTGGCCAAATTTTCAAAACACTCCATGTTACTTGGGCAAAGTGTGGCTCAGGCGGGAGGCAAGAGAGCAAAGGTAAGTTACCTGCCCTCTTGACAGACCTATGAGTCATATAACAAATCTTTGCCCATGTAAAATCTGCCCAAGAAGGAAACTACATTTAGCATTACTTTGCTGCCATCTGCTGCCTCTGTAGGGCAAGAACTCTGGCCAACTAAAGCTGGGCAGGACCATGCTCTCTGCCAGGTTAAATAATTTTCACATCTTCGCCCCAATGTCAAATACACATGCCCTTTCATCTCCTCTCATGACAAGCAACAGTTCCATGTTTATTGTCCAAGTCTCAGACAAAGACAAGGGAAGAGAGGGGTGCATCTCCTTGAGATTTAGAAATACAACAGGAAATGTAACATACACCCAACAGCTATGCAGCGCTCTCCCCATGTGGAAGAAGGCAGGGAGAGGCCTCCGATTTAAAGAGAATAATCCAAAGGATCAGAAAGCAGTTACATTTTTCTTGTCTGCTTCCTTCCTCCCCCCCGAAGTTAACCTTAGACTTGCCCTTGATTGTGACTAATGATGAAAACATCACAAGCCTGCTTGTTTTTGACATAGTGTGGGGACAGTGTTTAAGGCATGAGACTGAAAGAATAATAAGCTGGGGAAGGAAAGCACTTCAGGACATGGATCTAATGATGTTTTTAGGGGATCCTTCAAAACTGTGAAGGCAAACTCAGAACGCTGTTCTTAATTCTATCTTTAGAAAGCCAAGGGGTTCTGAGGCTCCATTCCATGATGGAGACTTGAAGTGTGAACTGAAAACCAAAATGAAGAACACCAATCTGCTAAACCTCAAACCAAAGACAAATATTATTGCTTTTACTGAATCATGAATCAAAGTGTTTAAGTTGATCACTTTACAGTAGAGCCAAAGTTATAGATTTTTCTAAAACCATTTAACAGAATAAGAACATAAAAATATTCTCTGAACCATATCTCATTGGTTGGAATCCTGTTCTTGGAGTCACAGGGATTTTATAAAAGATGTAGAAAGATTAGAGATTTTTTTGAAATCTTAATATATGAAATTGAAAAGCAGGACAGAAACAAGGTATTCTCTTCCTTCACCCTTACAGAGCAGCATCCTTACAACCACATAAGAATCACAAAATGTTAAGGCTGGAAGAGACAACAGAGTTTGCTGTAATTCCTAGAAGACAGAGTACCTTCCATGCAAGTGATTTCCTTGAGTGTTGGCTGGCCTGCCTTCAACATTCCCTCCAAGTACTTAAAGATGATCTGAGTATATGGTTTTGAGAAGAGGGCCCTTAAAACCTTGTTCACCCACTTCAATGAATGGTACCAAAAACCTCACAAAGGTCCTTCATGCTACAGTTTATGACAATTTTCTGGGATTCATCTCTCAGTGGAAACCAAAGAAACAGACTGTAAAGGCTGGAAAGGACTTGAGAGATCTTCATTTTACAACGGGGAAGGTAAGGCTGAGTGACTAACGGGCAGAAGGCATTACAGCCAGTAGGTGGCAGAACATGGGTCTGCTTCCTGGGAAGCTGCTCCTGCCACTGAGCCACACCACCTCCAATGAAGGTGCTGCATCTGTTCCAAATAACCACCTTTGTGGCCAACAAGTGATATGGACCCACAGGGACATACTTAAAAACTACATTCCCAGCGACTTGAAACTACAGTTAAGATCTAATGTAGGGATTTTGTTTCAGTTTTTGTTTCAATACATTTTGAAAACAGAAAGGCTCGGTTCCAGCTTAGAGTGACCCTACTGATTTTTTGAAAACTTTAGTCCAGTTCAAAGTTTAAAAAAATCCTAATATTTGGACTTGATTGTTTTGGAATTCAGCAAATAAGTTTTTTTTCCCCCCACTAGTCTGAAAACAATAGTGAGGGCAGAGACCTTTTCTGGCTTGTTCACTGCTGTATCCTCAACAATACCTAGAGTTAGGCATTCAATAGATATTTGTTGAATGAATTCTAACTTGGATTTATCACCTGGCTTAAATTACAATCTGCCCACAAAGGCAGGGCAGAGAAAACAGGTAGTCTCTAGCTTCTCCCTACATCCCACAGAGATCCACTTTGTGACCCATCTGCAGGTCGATCGGGGGCATGGCTTTGGCTCACACAAACTTACCCCACACTGACGTGAAGTATAGTCCATGAATTCAGCCATTGTTCTGAAGGAAGCACTGAGGGTTCGGTATCTTTCTTCTCTCTATTTGAATAAACAGCAAGTCACTGGTGAGATCTGGCATTCTCTACTGGAGAATGAAGTCATTTTGGGTACAGCTTCCTTTTTACTTTTCGAAAGGCCTCTGCAAGTTTAAGTCACTAAGAAGGATCTTACTGAGAAAGAATTCCAACTCTAAAAGGAATACACAGACATATAATTTATCTAGGACAAATAAAGGTTTGCAGGCTTTCCTCTAGTATCAGATGGTAGCATGTAACAATTTTTTTAAAAAGTAACCAACCAGGGCCGAGCCCTAGCAGTATCCTAAAGCTACCCAATAAGAATCTGTCAAATGTCTAGAGTTTTCAAAGGGCTTTTCTACACTGTCCTGATACTTTAGAGCTTCCGCCAAGGTCAGGATCCCTGAGATGCTTCTGTGTGGCGTGCCCTGGTTCCCGGCAGGCCACCGCTGAGCGAATGAATGGGCTGGTCCCCCAGCACAGGGCCCTCACCTCTCCCGGGAGAAGGCGCCGGGGGCCAGCTGCCGGCCGTCTTTCTTGGTAGGGCCGTTCCCGGCAAATGACCCCCACGCTGCCTTTGGGAAGCTCCAGCGAACGCCAGTCCACCGCCCTCCTCCTGGCCCGCTCCAGCACTTCTTGACCCAACCTAGCCGAGCGCTGCAGAGAATGACGGTCCACGCCGTTCAGCGCCGCGGCCACCAAACAGGTCTCCATGTCTCCCTGCGCAGGCACATACACACACACACCGGCGGGTCAGCAGGCCGCCGCGACCCTGCCCCAGCTCGGGGTCTGAGCCTGGGACTCGACCTCCCTGGCGACCACCGGCCCCGGCTCCGCCCGCAACCCGCTCTCCAGCGGCCACGGGGTCAGGGGCGAACCGGCGCGCCGTGACCCCTCCCCTTTCTGTCTCCCCCTGCCCTGCGTAGGGGGCCCTCACCCGGCCGGCCTCTCACAGCGCATGCGCTCAGCTCTCTGACGGAGACGGACGGCTGGGCCTGGGGCACCCGGCGCCGGCGCCGCAGGCCATTGGCGGGGGGGCGGGAGAAGGGGCGGGGCGGGGGAGGTGCGTGGCCTGCGCCGGCCACGCCCCGGGGGAGTAACTGCTGCAGAGCAGGGCCGGGGGCGGAGCGTATGGCCGTGCGGGGCGCGGGGGCTGGTGTCTCGGCAGGGGTTGAGGGCACCAGTCCGCGCTGTCGGAGGAGGCCCTGGGCCCGGGGCCTGGCCTTTAGAGGTCATCTCCGCTGCTTAACGTGACGAGCCTGGTGCAGTCAGGTGTTCTCCAGTTGGGCTACGAAACTGTGGGGAATAAGACAAGTGCGCCCAGGCGCCTTTTTCTGCATGGTCGATATTTTAGGATATTGCTACTCTAAAACCTCTTTTGTTTGAGGAGGTGACTAGGATAGGCTGCAACAGTGAGCTGCCAAGGTGGCGTTTGCAGAAGGGAGTCTGGCCAGCAGGCTGTGGGCGGTGGGACGCGCGGCCCTCCGCCAGAAGGCAGGTGTTTCTGGCCCACAGGGCTTGAGGGGGGACTTCAGTTGTCTGTAGGGTCTCTCGTAATCCCCTCGGGGCAGCGTCTTCACCCCTCCAGTGCGAAGTACAGACTCACACATTTTTGGAGGCCTCGTCTCTGGGGGTTTGAACCCACTTCCAGAATAGTTGCAGCACCTTTAAGGAGCTGTGCATCGTTACCTTCCACTCCACTCCGCTGTGTTATTTGATATGAGATGGCGCCCAGGGTGTCACTGCGCTTTAGTGACTCCACTACACCACCCTGCGCGCAGCAAAGCGCTGATGCTCAGGAGGGACCACTTTAAGGGACACAAGGAGATCCTCAACGCTGAGCTAGTTTCCTCCGCAGAAGGCTTGATTAGCAGTGCTGAGCTACCAGGTGTGTATGAGGATACTCCCACAACCTCCGTCTGCACTTTTGCTCATTTCCTGCTTTCCTCTCACAGAAATTGAGTGAAAGTCTTCATTCCCAGCTACCCTTGGGATATTTTTCATTGTAGGAGTATTCTAAAACTTTTCCTTCAGTAAGTGCTTATCAAGTGCCTCCTTTAGAACATAGTGGTTACGGTGCAAAGGATCCCCAATATCCGAAGAGCTGAGTTCCAGTTCCGGCTCTGCCACTTTTTTGCTGTGTGATTCTGGGCAAACAAATTTCTTAACATCTTTGAGCCTCGCTTTTTCTCATCCCTTCACTCAGGGCTCCAGCCTCCCTAGACTGTGAGCTTCTTGAGGGCAGGGACCGTATCTGTCTTGTTTACTGAGTTTAAGGTGCATCTAGTATTTTATCTGTCCCAGAGGAGCTAAAAATAGTGATTGAATGGTGAATTGGGTTACTGTAAGGATTCTGAGAGAGAATTCCTGTAAAATGCTTAGCACAATGCCTTGCAAAGAATAAGTGCTGCATAGATTTAGCTACATTATTATGTGCCAGGCACTGTCCTAGGAGTTGTGGAGAATTGAAACTGGATCAGACTGAAGGAGAGTAAAAGGAAATGACACATAAAATCTGTAATGCTAGAAACAAAATATTAAGACTTTGTTCATAAGCTGTTTGCTGTAATATTGATACAGATCAAGTTCTATGAAGCTTAGAGGAGAAAGATATTGTTCAGTTGGGGGGGATCAAGAAAGGCTTTGTAGAGAAAGAAGCATTTGAACTAGGCCTCAAAGGGTGGCCTAGGAATTAATGAGAGAAAGGGTAGTTAAGATACCTGTTAACCTATCTTATAATGAGTGTGGTTGGGGGGAAGACAGAATTTGTTCTTTTTTTATTATTTATGGATTTCAAGATCCTGGCTCCATAAGTTTTAGGGTGTCTGTGTAACCATGAGCAGATTACTTAACCATTCTACACCTCAGTTTTGTCATCTATAAAATGAAAATAACAGTAGTACATTCCTCATAGGGTTGTTGTGAGGATCAAGTAAGTTAATAGGTGTAGAGTGCTTTAAATAGTACTTGGCACATGGTAAATGCTCAATAAATATTAGCTAGTAGTATTATCTTTGTCAGACTTCAGCCTTGTCTCCCGATATGTCCTCACTAACCCAATACTACAGCCACATGTCACCTCACTTAGCTCTCTTCCCTAGGATTCTATTACTACCCCCACCCCCAATTCCATTCCAGTTGAAGTGTTACTTTCTTTTTGTCAGGTCAACTTTTTGAAATCTTCTCCTATTCCCAGATGCAGCCTCTGTTTCTATGGCTTTTTTTTTTTTTTTAAATATTGTGGTACTTATCCCAATCTGATTTAAATTATATGTAGTTATGGTTCATTCTCTCCCACCAGTTTATGAACTCCTTGAAGGTAGAAACTGCTTATTTGTCCCTAAATATCTAGGGCCTATTAAGCAGTAGGTGTTATATAGACATTTGTTGAATTTACTGATTTAATTTTTAAATTAAATAGATCCTTGTTAGGCAAGATTAGAGTTGGCTTCTTTTAAAAAAAATCTACCTATGTACACTTTAATGAATGTAATGAATATTCAATTGTAATTGAATTTCCTAGAATTTAACACTTAGAAATATATGGGAAGTAAGATGCTTGGAATGCAACTGAAGCCTAAAGACTAACACGAAATTAAATCTCTGTGTTGGGGCCAGCCCCATGGCGTAGCGGTTAAGTGCGCGCGCTCCGCTGCTGGTGGCCCGGGTTCGGATCCTGGGCGTGCACCGAGGCACCACTTGTCAGGCCATGCTGTGGCGGCGTCCCACATAAAGTGGAGGAAGATGGGCACAGATGTTAGCTCAGGGCCAGTCTTCCTCAGCAAAAAGAGGAGGATTGGCATGGATGTTAGCTCAGGGC